ATCTGCCACTGCAAAGGAAAAGAGGACCAAGCTTGTTATTACAATAATTACCGTTACAAGATCGTCCAGAAGATCAAGGACTTGGATTACAGGATTCAACTTTTTTGGAAGCGAAGCCAAAAGACGTACACGCAGAGAAGCTGGCCCTAGCCCCATACATAGTGTCCGTGATTCTTGTATTATCGTTTTGGATTAAGTTTATTTAAGTCTAACTTATTTGCGAGCCCGCGCATATCTAGAGCTTACAGAAGCATTTAAAAACCTAAAATATACAAGGTATTGCATTGAAACAAACAAATTTGGTTCTGCTAAGGCTTTTCTGAATACCAACTAACTTGTTACCAGAAAAAAATTAGTTTAAACAAAACATCATCGTTCTTTCAGAGCAATGTTTTGAAAAATCATTCCATTTTCAAAAAAAAAAAAAAATAAGTACTCACTGTATAAATCCTTCAATTCACCCTAATGCCAAAACGACACATTTTCGGAATAGAGTTTATTTATTATCATGCACCCTGTATTGGATTCGTTAAAATGGTGTTGAGAGTGTGATTTCAGTGTAGATAGGTGATAATTGAAAATATGGTATATTATTTATGTTCATTTTTTGACCTAATTTTTCATGAAGAACCACCCAAGATCTAACCCAACCCAAACTAACCTCATGTTTTGCAGAAAGTAAGTACCTACATATAATCATCTCATAATCATTCATCTAGAATATTAATTCTATTTTGTAATAATAATTTGAATTCTTATCTTATTTTTAGGCTCAATGAAATCAGAGAATGCGAAATCCAATGAGGAGTTTCAGAGAAGAATTAAAAGATTTCTAAAATTTCCTTTACAGTAGCTTTAAGGCAATATATTTTTAATAATAAATAAGTATTTGTATTTAATTATGATTTTAATTTATTTATTATTTATCTAGTTTTTTATTAGACGTGAGCGGGTAATACCTACTACCCATAACAATAATAATAATAATAATGCCTATAATATTTATATAATCAGTTAGTTCTAAATCTTATCAAATAAAATATCTTTGAGAAATGGCGACTTTTGTCAATACGGTATACACTGTTAATCCGAACATCCATACTAATCTAGTCTGACGAATGACCGGATGGTTTCTTTCCTAACCGTTAAACTGTATGAACATTTCGTTAATTTTTCAAAAGTTTTTTTATTTATTTTTAATAGATATTTAGCCATAATTTAGGATTTTGTTTGCTTTTATTATTATTTTTGCCTTCTCAGTAACACATATTTAAACCCAATTCATATTGTTTGCTCAGCGATTCTGAGTCTACGGAAGGAATTCGGACGTAAATGGGCGATGTTGCCACGTTTATTTATAAAAAAGCGAAAATACTAGGCATGAAGTATAGTTCATTTGGAAATCCATTTTTTGATAACAAAATGTAGATAACAATAAAACGCTGAATATTTCAACGTGGTTGTTAGATCTATGCTTATTTTAAATAACTAATTTCTTCAATTTTGCCTATTGTAAAAAATAAACATTTCCAAAAGAATCCATCAGCTTCTGACAATTTGGCAAAGATCCAGCCTAGATGAACTTGATTGGTGGAGTTTTTGGCAGGATCGCCGTTGCCACGGGGAACCATGCAATTGTCAGTGGGCTAACGTCACCTTACGTCTCGATATTGGATAGATTAGATATTAGTTACATTTTCTCCAAATCTCATATATCTCTACCACCTTTGTTTTTCTTCCTGTCTTCGGTTAAAGTATCCCCAGCTCTTGAATTTCCAACTTTTATGGTTTGTTCATGGATTTGTTGTTAGAATGTTAATATTTTATAATAAAGGTTCCATCGTCGTCATATATTCCCAAAATGGGCTCTTTTACTAAAATTTAAATAGGTACGTAATTCAAGTATAAAATCCCAAAGGAGAGACCGTTTTAGGCATATATAAAAAAATGATCTACAACGTTAACTAAGTTTTTTACAGGCACTTCAAAAGTGGCCAAATTCAAAATGATTTAAAATGCGCCAAGTGATGACGCCATTCGAATAATTTTGCATTTGGCCCATGTTGCTGCAAGCAGCTGACCGGCTCGTCTGTGTTAGCGTCTAGTAAAAGCACGTAAAGGTTCGAATGCGCTGTTGTCGGTTGTGACTTAAATGTAGTGCGACATAAAAAAAATAAATAAAACTAAACATAAAAAATTGATTTAAATTGTGTTCAAGCATAATTCATAATAAGAAAAAAATAATTATAAAATCTTGAATCCATAACTAATTAATTTAACTACTTTTCATGGTATTTTGCCAACATTTCAGAATTAAATGTATTACAAATTTTCAATGTTGACAATTAGTGGCAACACGGTCAAAATGCAAGCTGTGACGTCATACAAATAAATTCTGGGTTTTTATTTGGAGGTAGGTATTTCTTTTTTTTTCTATTTTCTCAAGAAGGACTATGAATTTTTCAAAAGTAAAAATACAGAAAATCCTGTTTTTAGTTGCTTTATCCAATTATGCCGACTTCAAAAATTAGTGAAAGAGCCCATTGTTTTTTTTTTTTTTTTTTTCTTCCCAATATACCAACAATATTTATTTTTATTATTGTTTCATTCACTCACTGATGTTATATGTTTTTTTCATTTTCTATGAATAGTAATCGAGACTCTGTCCAAGATCGAGAAATATAATGAGCACAAAGTCTCAAATTCAATTTTTAATAAGGTTAAATGTGTCGCCTGTGACGGCCGGTTTCTCAATAGCGAGTCTCCTCAGGGTTGCTTTAAACTCCAGGGTTAACGTGTCAAATTGCAATGTTCACCCTGGAGTTAGCTTAACCCGGAGGTGACCCGCTATTGAGAAATCGGCCCACAGCCCCATCATCAGATCTTAGTTGAAGGCTTGCAAAAATCAAAGAACACATTAAAATAATCAATAATGCATATTTAACTGATACAGTATTGCACGCCAGAGCCTCTTGACCTATAAACAAAAAACCAATGGAATGATATCGGGAAATTTGACTGGCCAAGCAACCAATTCAACATACGAATGATGAAAGTTTACAGCTCTGGTGAACCTGGTTTTATTAGTCCATATGACTTGTTTCCCAAAATCCCCATTATACCGGGTGTCTACGAGATCAGTTTCGCGCTTGCATTTGCTGGTATTCTTTTCGATGGCAAAGATTTTTGGTATAGAGTGTAGGTTTGAGAAATGTCATATTTTGACATGTGTGTCAATGTTTGGTAACTTCCGGTTTGACCGGAAATGGTCCTAACTCCGTAATTTTGAATGGCATCCCAATATTTTTTTCGCATTTTTGGTATCTGCGGATCATGATGTGTACGAAAACGTCAAATTTGAACATTTTTGAAGAAATTTTAGAACTCTGGCTGAAAATTTATTTTTGAACAGAAAGTGACGGAGAGTTCTTAAAATTGTTATTTTCAACCCACACAATCGTAGAAAAATGCGAGTGCCAAGATGTTATCCTTTGCTTGCTCTCCAAAGGCATCCAAAGTTGAAAAAATCACATTTTGCGTGATAACTCAATGAAATCAGTGAAATCACCCAACTTTCACAATATGAGTTTTTTACCTTTTTCAAAATAAAACCAACTATGCATTGAAACTTTTCATTTATGTTAGTTTTTAATTATTTTCTTATTATTTTTATAATGCACTATTATAAATGATAAAACTACTTATAAATGAACCCCTGTATGAAGAACGCTTTCCAAAAGGAGCTGGTGTTTTTTTTTTTCTTGACAAGCCATTGACAAGATCTGTGGCCAAGATATGTTTATTTGTCATTGTTTGACATCTTGGGAATTTGTAAATACAAAGTTTGAATACAGGGGTTTATTTATAAGTAGTTTTATCAGTTATAGTAATGCATAGTAAAAATATTGGAAAAATAATTAAAAACGGGCATGAATAAAAAGTTTTAATGCATAGTTGGTTTTATTTTGAAAAAGGTAAAAAATATTTGTTATGAAAGTCGGGTGATTTCACTGATTTCATTGAGTGATCACGTAAAATGTGATTTTTTCAGCTTTGGAAGCCTTTGGAGAACAAGCATAGGATAATAACTTGGCATTCGCATTTTTCTACGATTGTGTTGGTTGAAATTAACAATTTTAAGACCGCTCCGTCACTTCCTGTTCAAAAATAAATTTTCATCCAGAGTTCTGAAATTTCTTCAAAAATGTTCAAATTTGACGTTTTCGTACACATCATGATCCGCAGATACCAAAAATGTGAAAAAATTATTGGGATGCCATTCAAAATTACGGAGTTAGAACCATTTCCGGTCAAACCGGAAGTTACCAAACATTGACACACATGTCAAAAGATGATATTTCTCAAACCTACACTCCATACCAAAAATCATTGCCATCGAAAAAAAAACCAGCAAATGCCAGCGCGAAACTGATCTCGTAGAGACCCGGTATATACTTACATTCTGTTATAGAAACTACTGACAAAAAGCCACTCTTTTTGCAGGGTCTTCTGGTTGAAGGTTGTGACATTGTGAGTGTCACTGATTGATTAATGCGCCATTTAGAACATTCTCGTTTGTTATTTGAAATTATCATACGACAACTGTTCACCCAACTTACATTTAGGGTTGACAGCAATCGGCGATCGCGCAGGTATTGCCAGTTCCCATTTTGCCAACTGATAAGTAACAATTCACCGTACTAAAAGTCCGAAATGGGATACTGGAGCACGCTTTAGTTAATTCCACCATTCTCTTACCAATTCCACAAATTTCCCGAATAACTTCCTAATTCCCTGGTAATTTCTTTAATTCCCCTTTAACTCGTCACTAATTCGCCTAATTTCTTACTAATTCCTAAATATTATACACCTAAATTCCTCTGCGTTTTACCCCTCGGTCGAATATAAATTGAACAATATTATAATAAAGATTTCAGAAAAATCATTGAACCAAACATTTCTTGAAACCATAAAATCCAGCTTGACTAAAATATTTACAGCAAACCAAACTCTTTTATCACGTGATACAAGACAGTCCACCAATGGGATGAGCATTCCTACATGCAAATACACTACCAGATATATTTACCCACAAGCAGCGATGTGCGTCAGTACTAGAGAATGGATGTACGTTGTCAATTTGAGAGAATTCGGTGTAGATAAATTTTCTCAGCTGATTAAAACTGAAGTTTGTGAGTAAGTATCTAGGAACTTTAGTGAAGACTACTCAGATCGACCAGAAGTCTGGAAAAAGAGGAATTATTATTATCATTATTTTTTTAGTGCAGATGCTGTAGGAAAGCCTTGCATGGGTGACTATATAAGCTCCAATCTGCCATTTGCAACGACATCAGTTTGTGAGCAACATTATCTTCAAAAAAGACTTATAGCAATATCAACTAAGGATACAACTGTGAGTAGATAATAGGTACTTGATTACTAAGAAATTAACATATATTCTTTTATTCTTAGATCGTTTCTGAGATGTTCTGGTTGCCAACCTGTTGCATTTGTAGAACGTTTAGAATATTATTGTAATGGACTTCACAAATGACTAAGCTACAAAATAAATAAGAGTTGTAAAATTGTTTCAATTGTTAATCTATTAGTTAATGTGCAATGTAGACATACTTACTAAACATTTTTGAGTATTTTTAAATAATGTATTTTTTTTGTTAGGCATACTCAACATTTTTGTGTATTTTTAAATATTGTATTTTTTTTTGTTCGAATAAGAAATGCGATTTTTCTGATTAGTATACCTATTTTAAAAGTCGATCGACTTTGAGCCTTCTTGGAGAGCTTATGTCAATGGCAACTGGCAAGTTGAGTTTATTTTACATATTTCAGCGTTTATCTACAGATTCCAGATTTACGGCATAAGTAAGAAAGTATTCTGTGTAAGCTGCTAATTCAAAAAATAATTAAGTTAAAGCTCGGTGGCGCCTTTTTCAAACTGATCCAACACTAGGAACACCACAAGCTAAAAACTGCTAAGCATAGGTATATTACGGGCGATTTTATGTTCTGTAACCAATACCATTTCAGATCCTACATCCTACATCTAAGGTCTGTTCTCACAAGAGTCGCTGACAGTTTGCAAACTCTCAGAAAGCATCGCACATACATGTCTGCAATGCTGTTGTTCCAATAAGATAAATCGGTAACTAAGCTGAGCGATTGTTTGTGATAATTTTTAAACTCTCAGATACTCTTGTGAGAATAGATTTGTTAGCACCGACTAAAATAACACACAATATCATAGTGGAACGAATTTACGAAATATAATAACTTTGAGGAACCATATATTATCACTTCCTTTCCAAATTCATGAATAACAAATGCGCATTTTCATTAATACTAATAAATAAGCACAGGGCACTCTTGGAGGGAAGTGATCATAAACAAAAATTTATTGATGAATTTGAAAATTTGCCCTAGTTAAGCCACCATCCTTGGCACTTTTTTAAAAGTATCGTTAATAGAACTTCATTTTGCCATAGGCGATAAGGTACCCGTGCATTAAACTGAGGGTGTATACTTTACGGCTCTAGGGTCGAAAAGTACCAAAAACGCCCGTCACTTTTCCACCTTACTAGTTAAGGTGAAAAATACCGAACAAGAATGATTTTCTTAAATATTTGACGTGGCTAGCTTAACATTCACAAATAATATTTTGGCTCGTATTTACATTCCCTATATAATTTTGGAACTAGAACTACATATTTTTAGGACTGGTTATAGTAGTCACTGAGCTTAAGGAACTGAGATTCTTGTCTATAAAATCCTCACCTATTTCAAATCGGATGAATAATTTTGAATAACGTTGTATTCATCAAAAGTAGATAGGTAGATAGTTATCTGTTAATAATAATTTTCCTCTCTGCCTGAAAAAATTCGTATCTAGATAATTTTCATATTCCAACGAAGTACTAAAAGACACAAAAAGCAACCCGACCCCGTGGCGCATTTTTCCAAAAGAGCTATTTTGTTTGCTGATAGTAGCACACTTCAATAAGAATGATCACAAGGCGGCACATAGTCGGATCCATTGAAAATCCAATATACCATTTCGAAAGGATTTGCGATCGTCTCTTTACACGCTCCCCCAAATCCTAAAAATACGAGCAACCGCTCAAAAATCTGGCATACGTGGTGACACTATTGCCTCTTTTATTTCCCTTTTATAAATGGATTTCCATGTATTGAAGCTTTATTTTTTCGGATACAATTTATTTTTAATGAATGCTCTCCAAGCCAAGAACTTGGACTATAATGAAAGTTCGTCCAAAGAAAAGCCAAAGTAGCACTCCCATTATATTTTTATTCATTGCGAGCACAATAGCGCCCATCGAAGGGGTTAAGGGCAAAAAGCGGAAATCATAGAAAAAGTGACAAAGAGCAAAAGGCGCTATTTCAGGGAATAGAATAGAGCGATATCTGGAACGGTCTTTAGGGCCCATTCATGACGTTCTATAGCCAGTTGTCCGTTCTTACTATTCGGGCACAATTCATACAATCGGGCTTATTATTTTCCGACTTTGAACGGATTGGGATAATGTTGGCTATATTAAAGGGAAAAGGCTTTTAGTGAAGGAATTTTCAAAGTTCGACGATTTGCTGTAGTAATTTTCTACTACTTATAGAGAAAATAGGAGATATGAAAAATTTAAATAGATTTTCCTGCACAAATCACGAAAATCTATATTGTACAAACTTCGGAAGATATGGGGCTATAAACATTAAAATATATTTATTAGGCCACTGCTATAATATATCTAATAATTGATCAATCAATAAAGTTAATAAAGAAGTACTAAAATGAAAGAAGAAAGGCCGACAAAGACAGAAAAAAAGTTTCCTTTAATAGTAGCCCAGGAGCTATTGATTGTAAATTTAACGATTACCAGCTAGTCATAAAGTTGTCCGTTGTCGCTTGTCATCATCATCAGAGGCGATCACTTGTTGCCGAGTATGATTATCTTCTATTCTATTCTTGTTGTCGTCGATTGTGCATTTTCTAATGGCTTTATAAACTAATTCTGGAACCGCACACTCTTCCACAGTCTTGGCACACCCAGCCTTTGGCAGCATTGTCACCTCCTCTGTTCTCTCGCTCCTTCCTGCGGTCACTCTTTTTGGTCTCGTGTCTGCAATGCTGTTCTTCATTAGTTTGTGGTTCGCCTTGGACCACTCGACGCCATTAGAGCCTATCATTTGCCGTCGTCTCCCAGTAGCTGATACCGATGCGGCACTCCACCATATTCCTCCTAAGAACATCCTTGTCGCGTTTTTGTTGCATTCAGCAGGCGGAGTATCTGGATGTAATTTGCGGATACTTATCCTTTGCCAATACAGTGTGTCCCAAAAAGATACCGACAAACTTTGAGGGGTAGTAGGGGACATCAAAACAAGCATTTTTGTTCATATAAACATATGTCCGCAAATGAGCCATTTGGGCTGTAGAGCAAAAAAAACTGTTCGATACTTTTATTCTTCGCAATTTTGCTTTATTATCAAATAAATTATGGTTTACAATAATTGTTCAAAATGTTGACCATTTACTTCAATGCAAAGATTAAACCGTCGGGTCATTGACTGAAAAGTTTAGTCAAAGGTTTAGTCTACGAAACACCTGTTCATAATGAGGAAGATCTGATAGCAAGGATACTGGTGAGTTGTACCCATGTAGAAGCTATTCCCGGCATATTCCAAAGAGTTCGCGAGTTGAATAATTATTGTAAACCATAATTTATTTGCTATTAAAGCAAAATTAATGAGTAAACAGTGATTTAATTATTGCGAAAAATAAAACTAGATACCTAACAGTTTTTTTGCTCTACAGCCCAAATGTCTCATTTGCGGACATATGTTTATATAAACAAAAATGATTGTTTTGATGTCCCCTACTACCCCTCAAAGTTTGTCGGTATCTTTTTGGGACACCCTGTATATTCCAAAGAGCTTCTCTGTTGACCGAATCAAATGCTTTCACTAAATTTATGGAGGCCATGTATAGGGGGCGGTTTTGAATTCTACTAGCGCACTGGTCATAATATCTATTTATGTACCAAGGGGATTATATAGATTATAATGCCTGAAGGCGAAACTAGCCCGAGGGCCTCTGGTCCGAGGGATATATTTCACCTGCAGGGCATTATAATCTTAAAATCCCCGTGGTGCATATAATGCTTTATTTACGACTGACATATAATGTAAGTACCTATTATATTTGTGATTTTGGCAGTTTAATGCCACATATTATTCCCGCTTGCACACCAATCACAAAATTTCTTAAATTAAATAATTAGTACCATGGAAACAATACACCTGAACAAACTCAAAAGTGTCAGTGTCAAACGCGTAGTGCTTGTGTATTTGTATTGAGATGGATGAACAGAGAGCGTTTTGGAAAGAAAATTTCAAATAAATTAGTTTGTCGGAAATAAAGTAGAGTATACTACTCGCAATAATGGCTATTATTCCCTCGGAATGTTACTCCCTCGCTGCTAACGCGGCTCAGTTCGTAAATATTCCTCGGGAATAATAGCTATCATTATTGACTACTATTATCTACTACTATTATTCTCTACTCAACACAATGTTCTTTCATCAATTAGCATTAACAAAATTAGTTAACTTGTGTGACAGAATATTGTTTTGTATTTTGACATGTACCTGTACCTGTACCTAGAATCGAAATAATTAATCTAATATATAAAATTCTCATGTCACAGTTTTAGTTACCTTCGTCCTCCGAAACGGCTTTACCGATTTTTATGAAATTTTATATGTATATTCGGTAGGTCTGAGAATAGGTTTTAAGCTATATTTTATACCTCTAAGTGAAAAGGGTGGTCCACCCCAAAAATTTTCGCTTCTCACCACTACATAACTTAACTTATTTTTGTTTGTGCATTCAGCCGACGTAACAGTATTATCTGATAGCATTTTGGGCTTTACTGCTCCCAGAGCGCTCTCTATTTGGGCGGTGACGTCATAGATCTCTGCGGAAGTGCTCCGAGAGCAATTATGATCCAAGTGAGGGCCCCTATTTGAAATTAATAGCCGAACATACTTTAATTGTTTTGTTTCGATCAATCATTGCTTTATCGAATTTGAGCAAGGAATAGCGCTCTGTGCGAGATTTAAAAGCGTTTATTGCTCAAGTCGAACACGTGAATCCGTTTCGGATCGCTTTTTGATCAATCGGGAGCAGTTTTTGAGACAAAAGTCAAAGGCGCTATTATTATCTATTTATATAAAAATCAATGTTTGTTTGTTTGTTTGTGCCTTATGCGCTCCTACACCACTTATCCGATTACGATGAAACTTTGGTAGGTTGTTATGGCCATCCCAAGGAAGGTGTGTGGATAGGTTACGCATCTCGGAAAAAGAAATTAATTTTCAATAAATTATTAATTTAATTATAAACAAACTCATTCACTTTACATAACAACATAACCCAACTTTTTTTTGACAACATGAAACAACGTTGCCACACTTCATATATTTAGACTTGCGCATTCAACTGACGTAACTTTATTATTTTTTGAATTCGAGAACGACTGGACCGATCTTGAATTTAATACCACGTATCTCTATAAAAGCCGAATTCGACTGACCTAGATTAGATCGATTTGGGATCAATTTAAGTGAACTTCTTCTGATC